ATTATCATCATTTCCTACCTACCACCCAGCAAGTGGGTCCTCATGGAAATTATCAAATCAGTCAATCGGAAAACTAAAAAGCTACATATGCTCTACAGACAAGCAAAACATCCAATGCCAAGCTGCACCTCAAACCAATTAATTATAATCGCTAAAGATGGGCCCAGACTCAGGTTTTTTGTCTTTTTTGTTTTTTTCTTTAAGCTTCCCAGGTGACTTCAATACCAGCCAAGATTGAGAGCCTTGTAAACAATCATCTCCCCTTGGGCTGGGAATGTAGCTCAAGTGGTAGAATCCTTGCCTAGCTAACAGCAAGATCTGAGTTCAAATCCCAGCACTACCAAAAAAAAATCATCTCCCCCAGTAAATGTCAATATCCAATTTCTAATCAGGAAAGAGGCATCAAAGGCCTTCCTCAGAAAGGTTTTTAGCCTCTGAATCATCAATTTCATCTCTTAGAATTTATCTAAGAAAATAACAATAGATATAAACAATGATTAATGTAGAAGGATGTTTATCATGGTTATTATTTGTTAGAACAATTTTTAAAAACTGCAAAGGAAGCTGGGTCTGGTGGTACATAAGTGTAATCCCAGCACTTGGGAAATCGAGGTAGCTCAAGGCTAGCATGGACTACATAATAAAACTCTTTGTCTCAAAAGAAAGGGAGGGAGGGATGGGAGGGATGGGAGGAAAGGGAGGGAGAGAGGAAGGGGAGGGAGGGAGGGGGGAGATAAGGAGGGAGGGAGAGAAGGGATGGGGAAGAAGGAAAGGGGAAAGGGGAAAGGAAAGGAAAGGAAAGGGTAAAGGAACGGAAAAATGTGAAGGAATTCAGAGACAGAACTCATCACCACCGGGGGTGGGACAAAGAATAACCGGAGGTTTCAGCTGCATTTTACAGAATAAGAAGGAGTGCCTGGACACAGAGGGGGATGACATCAGGAGGGGTCAGGACAGAGAGGAGCTTATACAAGTTTTAATCCAGATATTGGGGAGTTGTGTTGTCTAGACAGTACAAGCCAGAGACCAGAAAGAAGAGAAAAATTACGAAAGATCCTCATGCTTCCAGGCTAGGAGACTCACTTGGAGTGGTATGGCCCCCAAAGGGCAAACAGGAACAGGGTAAACTAGATGCACTACTTATCAGACTCTGCTAGGTACACAAAAGAACTGTCCCATGGTCTTGGTAAAATGCAGATCCTGGGGGACTAAGCTCAATGGCAGAGCTGAACCTCAGCATGCCTGAGCACCTGGGTTGGATGGGGAGGTGTGGGTGGGAACTGGCTTTGTTTTGTTTTTTGGAAGATTAGCAAAGATTTATTTAGCAGGGGGTGGGAGCAGAGAGGCTCCAACATTCTGCTTTTCTAACAAGCCCCAGGCAATACTGCTGCTGCTGCTGTTCCAACCAAACTAAGCAGGGAGGGCCTTGGAGTTCATTCAAAGAAGCCACTCTTACCCACCTCCCACCCCACAGAAGGTCTGCCAGCTAATACAGAACCAGAACACGATATTTTCTAGGGGAAAAATTAAAAAATTTGACAGCTGTGACACCAGTGACAAGACTCTGGGTCAAATGACAACCTGAAGTTTGGAGGTCAATGGTCAAGGGCTACAGGAAATCCCAAGAGTGCTATAAACTGTCTGATCTGATAAGGGCTTATCCAACCCTGGTGCCAAGGAACAAAGTGAAAAACCTTCAGTTTGAGCAATCAGCACATACCAAATCTAATTCCTCAAATATTTGGTAAGTACCCCTCCCACCTCTTTATATTCCCAGGCCCTGGGAATATAAAGGGTTCCTGGTGTCAATTCAAAGAGTTGACTCAACACAGAAATGTTCTCAAAGCAAAGACATCTGAGACATGATTTGGGACTTGGGGACAGTGGCAGAATAAGGCCAGATCCTGCTGAAAACCAAGGACTTGGTTCAGCAGAAGGTGTTCAAGCCAGAGTTCTAATTTTTGGTAATTATAACACATGTATTAAAAGTGTGTAATAACACCTCACAGTGTGGATAAAAATAATTTTTGAATGGCTGAACTGGTAAACTGGTTCACATTCATTCTAAGTGCTTTTGGCTAAACAAATGACAGACTTTTTAACAGCTCCATATTTTCTTTTTCAGATAACCACATAATAATCTAGATGGTCAAGTCCAGGCCTGGTTCCCTTTTCTTTGAGCAGCTTGGGATATAGCTCAGTGGTAAAGCATGTGCTGAGCAAGCCTGAGGAATGGGTTCACTCTCCAGCACCAAAAAAACCCCCCAAAAACAAAAAACAAACCAAACAAGTCTGCCTGTTCTCTGCCCCATTTTAGTAACTCATGTGACTGCAGTAAAACAGAACTAAAATGCGCATGCTCCAGACACGTGCCCGCCTCCCCAACCCCCTCACGTGAACGGTCTTCTCGGAAACTGACTGCAGTCGTGCTTGCCGCCAGCCAAGAATGCACAGCCTGAGCTTTTCTCCCCAAAAATGGCGTCCAACAAGGCATATGGTAACAGAACCAGGCCGTTAGGATCTGCCTGTACGCTAGTGCCTTTCCTCTCAAAAGAGTGCCTGACTGGGGCTAACACAGTGAGCCCATGTGCGGGACAGTTAGTCCCTAAAAGAGAGGGGGCTGTTTGGGAATACTTGAGTTGCTGATGGTCTCCTGAGCGTTTACGGGTATGGGTAAGGGTATGTCCCCAAACTGCAGAACAACTGATGCCTTTGGGGAAGAGTGTGGGGTGGGGTGAACAACACAGTGAACTCATCATTTTACTCATCATTTGAATTTTTTTATTAATTTTTTTTGGTGGTACAGGGGTTTGAACTCGGCCTCAAGCTCACTTGGCAAGTGCTCTACCATTTGAACCACACCTACAGCTGTTTTTTTTTTTTTTCTTTAATAATAACAACATACTCAAACACATTGCATAGATTTTTTTTCGGCTTTGCTGTAGTGGAGATTGAACCCAAGAATCATGCATACTATAGGTAAGCACTCTACCACTTGAGCTATTCCCCAGTCCTTTTGTTTTCATTCTGTTTTTGAAGCATGGTCTTGCTACCTTTTTGCCCAGGCCAAACTCAAGATTCTCCTGCCTCTGCCTGCTGGGTAGCTCTGATCACAGGCATGAGCCACCACAACAGCTTAAAATAAACTTTTAAAAAGCATTAACAAGTCAAAACGATCCCACAGTTCCCTTTGCCTGCATCCCATGGTCATCAAACAAAGCCAACTTGGTTTGCCAAGCAGCCCTTCTGCAGGAAGAGAATGTGTTGAAGTGAATTCCAGTCACTTGGAGGGCTATTTCTTGGTGAAAACCAACTGCATTGTATGGCACCATCTCCACTGCGTTTGGTCCCTCTGACCCCAATCTCTCCTCCAGAACAGGTCACCAGTGCCCTCCTTGCCTGAAGATAAAACTCTACACACCGTGGCAGGACATAGGCAGCCTGCATACTCCCACTGGCCTCATCTAGTCCTGCTCCCCACAGTGGCCACACTAAGGCACAGACCTGTCCTCAGTAAGTCACACCTCTGGCTTTCTGCTCATCCTGCTTCTCCTCCTTGGAATGCTCCTTTCCTCTTTTCTGTGCCTTGAAATCCTCCATGATTCTCGGACTCAACATGTCATCAGCCACCCCCTGAGCACAGCCCACTGCCAAGGGTTGGGAGTCCTTGTTCTCAGCTTCCTTTTTTTTTTTTTTCTTTTCTTTTCTTTTTTACAGTGCCGGGGCTTGAACTCAGGGCCTACAGCTTGAGCCACTCCACCAGCCCTTTTTTTGTGATGTGTTTTTTTGAGATAGGATCTCAGGAACTGTTTGCCTAGGCTGGCTTCAAACCTCAATCCTCCTGATCTCTGCTTCCTCGAGTGGCTAGGATTACAGGCGTGAGCGCAGCAGTTTGCTTCTATGACCTCCAACTTCCTATACTCTGAAAGGCCTATGCACTGTGCTCAAAGCCTGAGGTATCAACACATGACTAGGCTGGACTGGGAGGACCAGGGTGAGCCAGAAGGCTCAGTCTTTGTTTGTCCCTTGGCCTACCAAGAATGATAGCAAAGAGGGAACCCAACACTGATGACCTCTGATGTTGACTGTAAACATCTTAAAATTGCTACTTGATTTCCTAGGATAATCTCAACCTACTCATGAGGAATTACCCTTTTTTATACATTGCTTTGGGATCCTAACATTTTTGTAGAGAATTTTTGCATTTCTACTCATGAATAACAGTGGGATATAATTTTCTTATATTACCTTTATCAATGCTTTAGGAGGATTTGTTTTAAAAAAAAAAAAAAAAAGACAACTAAAATTACTTATTCTCACAGGAATGGTAGAACTCAACAATGAGGCCAAGTAGGCCCAGAGTTTTCTTTAAGGGAAAATCTTTACTAATTCAAATGTCTTTCATGATTGTAAGCTAGTTTCCTTTTCTATTTTTTATTGAATCAATTTTGGTAAGCTATTTTTCTAGGTAATTGGAATTATTTGGATTGCAGAGCTAGCTGATATCCAGAATGCTGACACTAAGGTGAATGCTGCAAGAAATTAAATGTCTTGTGAATCATTACACAAACAACAGCTCACATGAGTACTGAGTTAGTTTATAAAAGTACTGTCCATGTATTAGTTCACCTGAGGATCAAAGTCTAGATGGCTTTGGTGACTTGGGTGTCTAATTATTTGCAAAGGGATGGGTAACTTCCTAGCTAAGCAGGACAGCTGATTCAGATAAACACTCCATTGCTGCCATGCTAGAAAATTCTGTAGACTATGCAACTATTCCTCACTTCACTCCAGGTCGTTGTCACACAAGGAAGCAGCCAAGTGACTTGGGAGTGTGTAAGAAAGCTGAGGACAACTTTCCCAAGGCCAGGCTGGGAATGGAAAGTCCCGGGGGGGGGTTGGCATGTTTACTGACACGAGTGGGACCGCTCCTGCCTATGATTTCCGCAGGCCACTTGGCCCAGGATGCAGCGGCCAGCGCCGGGCCTGGGCACACTCACCAGGGCTTCGAAGTCCTTACAGTCGTGGCGGGCGTAGGAGGCAGGGAAGGGCCGCAGCACCGAGTCGCGCTTGTAGCTTTGCAGCGCTGAGGCGAAAAGGCTGCACCGAAGGTCGGCGGCCAGCACGTCGCGGCCCGCCGCCTCCTTGGCGGCCGCCGGGCCCGAGGGCTGCATCCCGGGCCTCGGAGACGCGCGGTCGGGGCGAGGCCAAGCCTGTGGTCAGCGCGGGGCCTGGACAGAGGGCTGTTGGGGCCCAGGGTTCCCAGCTTGAGCTGGAGCTAGGCAGGGGGACAAGATGACAGGGGTGCGGACCTGCTGACCCACGTCCTCTGCCCGGGGCAGGCAGGGCGCTCGGTGCAGGGGAAAGACCCAGGCGGGACCGGGTCAGCCGGGCGATAACGAGGGCCAGGGGTCCCCGGCCTCGGAGAGGGGCTATGACATGGGAGGAGATGACAAGTGTGGGAACGCGCCGACACGTGTCCTCCGCCGGGGAAGCCCAAGGGACGCAGGCGGACCCGCGCCGCGCGTGCCTTCCTGCCCCGCCTCCCGTGCGCCGCCGAAGCCCCGGCGCCCGCCAGCTGTCTACGGCGCCGCCTGCGCTCCGCCGCCGCGCACATCCGCCGGCCGGGCCCGCCGGTGGGCCGACGCCGAGCCTACCTCCCCGCCCCGCCGCCGCGCCCCTACGTCGTGGAGCCCCGCCCCCGAGCCCCGCCCCTCCCGCGCCAGCCCCTGGGCCGCGCAGGTTGTGCCGGGCCGCGCAGGTTGTGCCCGCCCACCCCAGAGCCCGCTGCTAGGGGTCGTGCCGGGCCAAATCGCCCTATCCACGCCAGCCATCCTCACAGGAGCCCGGGGTACAGGCTGACCCCAGCGTTCTCTTGACCCTCTCCTGGTCTTGCCTTTGTCTCAGCTCACAGTGGGACTCAGTGCTATTTGCTGTCTCGGAATCTTTTCCCTCCAAAAAACACTGGCTGCACTCAACACCGGTTAACTGAGGCTCAAGGTGGTGCAGTGCTTTCTCAAGATGCCATAGTTACACCAAAAGACCTTTCTCTGACTTCAGCCTCCAGAACTCTCGGAATTGCTTAAGTTTTTGACCTCAGATGCCCCAAGATCTTCCTTTGGAGGCTTCTGTGACAGGAGCCTGGGAAGACAAACAATGGAGGGCAGAGGTGAGCAGTGACCTAACCCTGCAGAAAAGGGGGGAGGGGGGGAAAGGGCGCCCATCCCCCTCAGATCCCTACTAAGGACCTCGTTAAAGAGAAGTCCAGTTTGATCTCATGAATTCATAGAGATATCTAAATTACTAGACTTGAGAGGCCCTCTCAGTACCCTGAGAAGGAACACACACACACACCCTTGCAGGTTCTCTGAGGAAGGAACTTCCCCTACTTGGGCATCTAGGCTGGGCTGAACCCTGGGCTCAGGAGAGGTGGTGGTGCCATTGTAGGACTTTGGGGGTTAGGATAGGACCAGACACCACAGAGCCAGGCCAGGCAATGGGTACAGGCTACTCCCAGGAGTTCACATCACATCTCTGGGTGTTGCAAGGCGTGGGCTGGTCAGAACCACCAAAAAGTAATAGAGGTCTCAGTTAAGATTAGTGCCCTAAAGTCCTAGGGATTTCCTGGGACCCAGGAACCGTAAGGTGGCTGCCTAGGCCCCAGAAAGGCAACTGTAGGGCAAAAAACCTAAGAACCATCTCTCATTCCACCTCTTCTGCTCTGCATTAGGCAAAGCCACTGCCTAATACCTCCTTGGCCTCAGACATTGTCTGTTGGATGAATATAAAATTTGCTTCTCTGAATATATTTTCTCACACTTGAGATGAGACTAACGGTAATAATACTCATGCCACAGAGGATGTAGAAGGGCTTCTGAGGATCCAACCCTCTAGAGAGCAAGCTAAGTTATTCCATGTCACTCTCTGTGTTTATTTCCATTTTTGTATTTGTTTTTGTTTTATAGTGCTGAGATCAAACACAGAGTCTCATGCATGCTAGTCAAGCTCTCTACCACTGAGCTCCACCTCTCATCCCTATGTTTTAAAATATTATTTTCTTAGTGATTGCTCTATGATTGTACATCTTAATTTATCACAGTTTCAGATACATGCTATCTTAATTCCAGTGAAATGTAGACTCCTGTGTACAGTAGCTCTAGTCTCTTCCACTTTTGTAGTTGCATACAGATTACACATATAAATGTTACCAACCCAATGTTACATTGTGATTATCACTTCAGATAATTTTATGTTTGTCTTTTTTGTGGGGAATGGGGGGGTTCTCCCTGTGTAGCCCAGGCTGGCTTGGTATTCATGATCCTCCTCTCAGCCTCCCAACTGCTAGGGTTGCAGGTATACACCAACACGCCCAGCATAATTTTATATCTTAATGAGGCTGAGTAAAGCTGGGCATTTTGTTATGTTAATCTTATCATTTCTGTATTTGTTTATTTATTCTTGTGAATTTGATATGGAAACATTTCTTTAGCCCAATACAGCTTTGTTCCCACATAATCCCTTTGGGATGGTATTTGCAAATATATTTCTAAATGTAATAGGCTCAACAATACTTTATTTATTTATGCTACAGCCTCATTTTATAGAATTTTTAATAATCACTTTAAAGAAAAAAGGGGAACAAACATACATTTATATGTACATTTATAATTACAAAATTACCTTTAGTTTTGAACTTTTTTTCTTTTTTGGGGGTGGGAGGGTTACTGGGGTTTGAACTCAAGGCCTACACCTTGAACCACTCCACCAGTCCATTTTTGTGATGGGGTTTTTCAAGATAGGGTCTCATGAACTATTTGCCTGGGCTGGCTTGGAAACACAATCCTCCTGATCTCTGCCTCCTGAGTAGCTAGAATTACAGGCACGAACCACCTGTGTATGGCTAACTTTGGTTTTTTATTTATTTGTGTGTTTGCTTCCCTGCTTTGTGGTGCTAGGGATCAAACCCAGGGCCTTGCACATAGGAGGCAAGTACTTTAGTACTGAGCTATAACCTCAGACAACTTTGGTTCTTGAGGTTTGGGGATTTTTTGTTTTTGTTTTGTTTTTTTTGTGGGAGTAGGATTTTTGAACTCATGCTTTTAGTCCCTTTTGCTTTGGTTATTTTGGAGATGGGGGGTCTTTTGAATTATTTGCCTGGGCCGGCCTCAAACTTCAATCCTCCTGATCGCAGCCTCCCAAGTAGTTAGGCATGAGCCAATGGTTCCAGCCCAATGTTTGGTTGGGTTTTTTCCCGTTTTTGGTGGTACTGGGGTTTGAACTCAGGGCCTCACAGTTGCTAAGTAGGTGTTCCACAACTTGAGCTACTCTACAGCTCTCAACTTTTTTGATTTTTTAAGTGGATTGAAAGGTCATTTGCTTTCAGTGTACTTCCTTTAAGTTTTTTTTTTTTTTTGGAAAAAAAATTCTTTGAATTTTTTAAAAAATAAACCTCTCTTTCTCTCTCTCTCTCTCTCTCTCTCTCTCTCTCTCTCTTTCTCTCTCTCTCTTTCTGTCTTTGGCAGCACTGGGGTTTCAACTCAGGGCCTCATGTTTGCTAAGCAGGTGCTCTTTACTGCTTGAGCCATTCTGCCAGTCATCTTTGAATATTTTTTTTCTGCTCCTTTTTCTCTCCTCTCTTTCTAGCAAAATAACATAAAATAGTTCATTTCAATTATTACACTCTTCAACTCCAGCATTTCCATTTGGTTCTTTGAAAATAATTTCTACCTCTTTATTGGTATTCTCTATTTAATGTGACATTGTCCTCATACCACCCTTTTCTTCCTTAATCATTGTTCCTTTAGTGGCTACCTTGAAGGTTACCTGTTACATCTGACATCTGCTCACTTTCACAAGCAAAAAGCCGTTGTGTGCTTTTTCTCAGTGTGTGAGTCAGAGTTTCCTGTTTCTTTGTATGTCTCATAGTTTGTGTTGTTCTTGGAGATCAGACATTTTAGATAATGTAAGTCAACTTCTCTGCCTCTGTGGCTTATTATTATTATTCATATGTTTATTTGTTTAGTGACAGTCTGAATTATTTTAGTGGAGTCTGTTGAGTCTATCTCACCTTCAGTGTTAGGCCTCAAAAGTTGCTACTCATGAGACACAACCACGAATGTGCTCACAGTCATTTTGAAATGATAGTGTCTTTGAAGAACTTTCCTGTCTCTGTCCCTAACTACATCCAGCTGTTAAAATCCACTCAGTACTAGATGATTGCTCCTTGGTTTTCAACAATGCCCTTGAAGCACAAATTGCTCTGCAAATTAAAATCAATCCAGTGTGATCTCCTTTGAAGGAATTGTTCCCTAGGTCAGTGTTGGAGATGTTCTGAATGCAGATGGGCTCCCAATTGTTTCTTTCCCTAGCGAACTAGATCCATCAAGCCACCAGTCTCTTCCCAACTGTCACCACAACCTCCATTTTTCTCTTTCTTTTTTTTTTTTTTTTTTTGCTCTCTCTCTCTCTTCTTTTCTCGCTCTCGCTATTCATTCACTGCATTGCCAGGGATTGAACCCAGAGCTAGGCACAAGCTCCACTCCAGCCCAACTTCCACTGTTTTTCCGGAGGCCTCTCCAGGCTCTAATGCAAATAAAGTCAGTTCCTTTAGGAAAAATTAGGCTTCTTTCCCAGATAAAGTCTTGGATGGGGACAGTGATAAACTTTTCTGAGTGATACCCCTGCTTTGTAAGCAATGCTTTAGTAGAAGCAGTGAGGGAGCAAGGAACTGGTAACTCACATCTGTAATCCTAGCTACTCAGGAGGCAGAGATCAGGAGGATCATGGTTTGAAGCCAGGCCCAGGGGAAATATTTCAAGAGAACTTATTTTGAAAAAAAAGACCCATCATAAAAAAAGGCTGGCGGAGTGGCTCAAGTGGTAAAGCACCTGTCTAGCAAGTGTGAAGAGGCCCTGAGTTCAAACCCCAGGACCACCAAATAAAAGAAGCCAGGAAGGAGCAGCAGGCAAAGGCCCACTTGGCTTTCTTCTAGCATAGGAGCCTCCCTCGCCAACTGGGACAAGGATAATTCTCAGCAGTAGAGGCTCCTTCCCATAAGTGAGGATCGGTGAATAAGGGAACCCCACCTATCGGCTAGACTGACCCAGAACTTAGGTTCAGGAACAGGTAGCTGGGGGCAAAATGAGAAATGTGGATGTCCTACCCAACCAAGAAAGCAGGAGCTGTGGGGAGAGGGAGGCCTGGATTGGCTGTAAGGTCTGGACAGGGCAGAAGTGGGAGCATGTCTGGTTCAAACACTATAGACTCTTGTCCTTACCCAGTATTAATATATTCCTTTTTTTTTTTTTTTTTGTGGTACTGGGGTTTGAACTCACTGACTTTGAGCACTCCACCAGCCCTTTTTTGTGATGAGTTTTTTCAAGATAGGGTCTCTCAGACTATTTGCCCAGGTTGGTTTCAAACTATAATCCTCCCAATCTCTGCCTCCTAAGTAGCTAGGATTACCGGCATGAGCCACCTGCACCAGGTGCTTTTTGTTTTTTTTTTAAACTTGAGAGTCTCACTATGTAACTCAGGCTGTCCTCAAACTCAAGATCCTTCTGCCT